ACCACCCCGTTCCTTCTCCTGCACGTCGAGCCGGAGCCCTGGTAACCCGTTAGGTTCTCCGCGATTCCGAATCGGCATCGGCCCTGTTGGGCCCCATCTGTGGTGGTCTGATGGCTCTTTGAGGCGCGCGCATCATATCTCCCATAGGACGTCCATTGCTAAACATAGACTTCCCTAATGACTTCAAGATAGGCTGATTGGAAGCGGCCTGCATCCATCGGCTCCCTGCGACCTTAAGGCATTGGCTGCCAATAAAAAACTGTTGAAGGTAAATCCTCCGCTAATGTCGGTCATGGCAGTCACCGGTGACTGCCATGGCGTTTAACGTGTTAACCAGGTCATCGGTCCACCTTGCGTGACGTCCTACGCTGCGCTAGCCATTTTGTACGAGCTGTTTGCCCGTACACAGCAATGTGTTTGTTGTGTGTAGTATGTTGTCAACGAAGACGGGATGTTCACAGAAATAAAATTACTGTTTTTGTATCCGTTCTCGAAGAGAGTATTTATTGTACTACATTAGTTAATTAGTGTGGCTATAAATAAAATAATCTTGTTAGTAGGTTGCGTCATGAATGCGCCAATAACGCGCATTCGGCATAATGTTAGTATAGCAGAATAAGTTAAAAAGTAAAACAATTGAAATCATGTGTCGATGCTCGTACACATTTTCATATTTGATACAGGTTTTACCTACTACAGACACCAGCATCAAGGTTATTGTGTCATTATTTGATGTATCTTTATTGTTAGTTGATGTTGAGCTCGATAAGGTTAGTACCTATTATGTATTGAGAAAGTTTTAACAAATTGCAGAATAATGATTGTCACTTTGTTCATTTTAGGTATGCAAACGTTGTAATGCCACGGTCAGAGCGTAGCAAAGGGTGTGCAAGGAGTTTAGGACTTTATTTTTCATTTTCATCAAGAATGAAAATTCTTATAAATGGCTAGTTTTTCATTTTCACTGATTAGTATACCTAATAATAAAGCGAAAATCATTTGGACACCTTTTATCTAGGCCTTATGAGGGTCACAGTTCTAACCTAACCTAACCAAATGTGTTGGGGTGCCCAAAAAGTGTTTTACATACTCCCCCAACTGACCTTTAGGGCTCAATTTCAGGCGAACCTGAAGTAGATAAAAAGTGCCCAGATAATAGTCATCTTATTTTTAGGTATACTAAACGATAGAAATGAAAAACCGAGCCACTTATAAGAATTATCATTTTTGATGAAAAAATAATTAAAAGTCCTAAACTCCTTGCACACCCTTTGCTACACTCCAACCAATGCCACACCATGTCACAATCATGTGAAATGCATTCTCTATAAAAATAATATTTGTACTAAAGATATGATGTATGGAAAACAAAATGAACATGTTGCATAGAGCATGTTTATGCAATAATATGGCAAATAGTCAGGCCATCAGGACTTTTCATTAATGAAGAATTTGGATTCTTAGTAGCTAGCCCTGATGGTAAAATTATTCGATAATAAAAATATACAAATAACTAGTTTTTGTCGCGTGAATATTTTAAATAGGGTTCAGTAGCGTAAGCCTAAAAACTTTTCTTTTTTACAGATATTCAAAATATTCGATAAGCATCAGAAAATAGAAATTTTGCTATTCATTTGGAAAATGATGTTTTAGTTATGAACAAAAAGCATAACTACTATTATCAAGTAAGTATGTCATTATTATCAAATATCATTCTTATTATTTCATTATTATCAAATATCATTATTTCTTGGTATGTATGTATAAAAATAATGTATTTCTTGGATTGTTTCTTTTTAACAGCTATTATTATTTTGATTCTAGGTCCAGGGTCAATTGCGAATTACCAAAATGAATAAATGTTACTTCATTTGCTATATATCAGTCACCCAACCATTGACTGTCATAGAAGTTAACCAGAATGAGGAATTTATCAGTACTATGATGCCGAAGTTGGTGACAGTTTTTAAAAGATAAAATAATTTCCGGCAGTACACACTGCCGGAAATTATTTTGAGAAGAGTTGAGAAAAATGCTAAATGTCTGGACATCAAGGAATTAAAAGGTATAAAAATATAAGTCTTATTCATTTCCTAACTTATTTCTCAGGGCTCTGAGGTGTGGGTTCAGTAAGAATAGTCTAACAAAACTGTGTAAATTCATTTGTTGCAGCGAAAACTGCGTCTTCCAGCATTTGATTCAGATTGCACGGAAATTATAAATGGAAGTAAAAAGCGATAAACAGAAGACTGATATGGCGCGGCGGTGGCGGCGGTGACTGCAAAAAGAAGATATTTTATTATAATATATATAAGAATCTTTGTATGGTGGTACGAGTTGATTGTTCGAATCCAAGCCGGCACTTTGCTTTGTGTAGCCTGATTCTCAGCAGTGTGAACATTATAGAATAATTAATAAGCTATTTTTGCACGTAGCTATGTATAGTTTGTGTTATTTTGTTAGTCCATAAGATTTTTCTGTGTAGATAAGTTTGCCTCATGCATTTAGGTACCAGCCTAACAATTCAATTGTAAAACAATATTTATTGAAGTTCAAAATTGTAAAATAAATAGGTATTCTTGAAACATAAATAAATGTTATGGTTAGCTAGCAACCACTTGTGCGATGTATAGTTTGTGTTATTTTGTTAGTCCATAAGATTTTTCTGTGTATATAAGTTTGCCTCATGCTCACCTAAATGGTACCAGCCTAACAATTCAATTGTAAAACATTATTTATTTAAGTTCAAAATTGTATAATAAACATGTATTCTTGAAACATAAATAAATGTTATGGTTAGCTAGCAACCACTTGTTGTTGGTTTTATGACTGTAATGTTATACTAATTAATTGAAATAAATAAATGTAAGATACTTGCAAACTTACATGTGCCGTTATATATACTTATGATGTTATTTATATTGTGATCTACATACATAATAATTCTTTCTAATACTAAATTTAAAATTATAAAACTAAGTAAATATCAAAACAATTAAAAAATTATGTTATCTTTGTATGGTGGTATGACTCCATGGTTTGAATTCAGATGGAAACTATCTATGTAAATGTAGTGAGAGTAAATAAAACGATTATTTTATGAAAATGTTAACTTAGTTTTACTAAATAAATATTATTAATTTATAGTAAGGTACAATAAAAAGCTTTACAATGGAATAAATAGTCTTTCATTGATTTATTTAGTAAAGTCACTATTTACACATTACAATTTAGGTTCAGTCACATTACAACAATTTTTTAGGTGTAGGGTCTTTTTTTTTTTGTTTAAGGGGGGAAAATCATCGAATGACTGCTCCCGCCTGGGTGAGGCGGAAGGGAGTGTCAGACTCTTACTGACTAAAAACCACCCCGTTCCTTCTCCTGCACGTCGAGCCGGAGCCCCGGTTACCCGTTAGGTTCTCCGCGACAGGTGTAGGGTCTAGGGGTATAGTAAATAGTGTACAGTGTAGGTACCTATTTTACCTAAAATAAATTTTATGAATAATTTGCTAGATATCGAGTCTAGAAACAAAAGTATACTTAGACCAATTATTATACTAATAAGAAATAGATGGGAACATAATTTCAAGTATGTAAATTAATATTTTTATAGTATAACGACATCTGGTGGTGTCGAAAGTTACTACTATTTACTTTGCATGTGTGTGTAAACAGTAAAGTGAAGCGGCTAAATCTTTATTTTGTAGTAATCTTTGTATGAGACCAGATAACAAGCACAACGACTATCTAAAAAATCAAGTTAATGCCCTAGGTTTCGCGAACAATAAAGTTATCTATTAAAGATTTCGAAGTTAGGCGTAAAACGTGAAAATGTTCCAAATTGTGGAAGTTACGCCATCTAGCGACAAAATGGCATTTGAGATCATCATCCATCCACCTTAAGTGACATGTTTATCTTTAATATTCAAATGATTTATTCGGACATAAATAAAATTAATATTAACTATTACTAAATGAAAATATATACAACTTAAATTATAAATAACTATGAACTAAAATATTTAGTTGATATATAGTAATATATAGATATACAACATGTAACTTAAATAACGCACATCCTGAAAATAGTTTGTTCAGAATCGTTAACTGAATCGATTTATATAATTTTTAGTATAGGTAATTTTTTATCCCAAAAATAATTAAAACAACGGAAATTATTGTCATATTAACCCTGTATTGTTAAAACGTTAAAACAAATCGAAATGGACCGTAAGTCAAAGCAATAAGACTTTTAAAATCGCAGTTTTATTTGTATTCATACAAGTTCTATCATTCAATACAAAATAAAGAAAAATTAATCTTATGATAAGACCAGTAAGGATGCATATACATGTTAATTTAAAAATTTAGTGTACGTATTATGATTATAACATAATAATTCTAATTGGGGTGTTTGAGGGTGTGCGTTAATTACGTTACATGTTGTATAGTTGATATATAGTATAAATTAAGTAATTTAAGAGCCCTAAGATGTAGAAATTTCACGTTCATGTAATATATACAAATGTAATAAAATAATTCTACGAAATACTTACAGATATTACTTACACTTCTTATTGAAGTAAATTTTATTTCTTTTCATTTTTTTTGGAGATACGAGAAACCATTTTATTTTATATAAAAAATAATAATAATGAAAAAAAAAATAATTATAAGGCATCAAAGAAAATATTTTCCTCATCGCTACCGTGAGGTAGGGTGCCCAAAAGACTGGCAGCATTGCCACGTTGAATGGCAATGCTTAACCTTTGCCCAAGGTAGTAGCCAGCCCTGAAGTAAATAATTAAAACTAAAATATTTACACCTTAAAAAAAATTAAGTACATTTTTTTGACAAACAAACCTCCTTTCTCCCCTCGCATACAACCTCCTTATAACAGACCAACAACAACAAAAGCATAAAATAGAAAAAGAATACAAAACCAGTTGGCATACAAACTGACAGTACACCTGAAACGTAATACAAAATCTAAACACTCCTAAATTCTCAGTGTCATATGCAAAAATTTTATCGAAGTCATGGAAAAAAAGCGGCGAAACGAGATGTTAGAGAAAAAAATCGACAAGATCAAAGACCGTGGTGATTTGCGCAAATCCCCAGAGAAGGCTACCAAGAGAAGCGATGAAAATAAACATGCAGATCTAAAGATGGTACACCCAGAAAGAGGTGACTCAGACCTATTGGCAAAATTCAATCAAATACCTGAAAAAATGAGAATGAATATAGTGATGAGAAAACTAAAAAGTATAACGGATGCCACTGAGAAAGAGCTAAGCAATAAAAAAAGTATTGATGGCCAGAGTTCAGCGAATACATTGGAGTTGAGAAAGCGTATACGAGACAAATATACGCTGAAACTCAAGACCTCTGCGCAGAAAACTGATAGACCACAATCGGTTACTAAAAAAGAAGAACCTAAGCCAATTGTAAATACTATTGGTAGCGCTAAATCTGGTATTTATTTGTTTGATATCATTTTTTTTATGGAATAGGAGGCAAACGAGCAGACAAATCACCTGATGGTAAGCGATCAGCGCCGCTCATGGACACCCGTAACACCAGAAGAATCACAGGTGCGCTGCCGGCCTTTTAAAAAGGAATACGCTCTTTTCTTGAAGGTTTTTTATTTATTTGTTGATAGTAATATTGTTTAGCCCTATAAATCACATTATCATATCTTAATATCACGCCTTTCATCCCCGAATTGTGGTGCACATTATAGTACTTTATGCCTCTGTACAATGTAACACCCACTTTTCACTATTTATGTTATAAGTCTCATGTAGTAGGGGGTGAGCTTATTGCCATATACCGGGCACAGTTCCAGACCCCGTGCTACTATTAATTTTTTTTTAAAACCCATTAATAGTTTGAGTGACCCAGGAATCGAACCGAGACCGCTTGCCCGGCAGTCGCACTTGCGACCACTCGGCCAACGAGGCACTGATTAGCACTTACAACATAATATATTTTCCAGATCGATACACCAGCACAATAACAGAAGAAGCAACGCAGACGAAAGACAAACTGATCCAATCTACAGAAGATAACGTTTCAACCAAAAATGAACCGATTCCAGAGAAAAAACCAGAACGGGGTATAATAAAACCGGAGAAAACCAGTTCAAAAAACGCTCAAAGCACCAATAAACACAATCGGAAACCAATGATCAAAACTATAATGTCCAAAAATGGTCAAGTCAGGATATTCAAGGCAGTCACATTCGTTGACCAGGTAAAAAACCCAACACCGTTAGAAATCAGCATACCAACTGATGCTATGAAGAAATTGAAAATAACAAAATGTACGGATACTAGTTCTTTGAAGTTAAAACTGAAAAGAAGTCCGAGCCAGACGAGTATTAAAGATCGATCATCTCCAGTTAGAAAGAAAGTTGAAAGAAGAAAAGAGAAGAAACCGCAGAAGTGTGCTTTATCACCTGGCAGCTCGAAGATGATCGTATCACCCCCAACTGAGGTTGCAAGGTGGGCACCAGCGTCTATAGATGAACAGACTAAACCGTACTACGAAGCATGGGTCAACACTACACTAGCAGCTATATCTAAAAATACGAAACAAGACAAATTATTCTATGAAAAATACAAAGCAAGTCTACTGGCAAGTTTAAAGAAAGCTCAACAAGAAAGGCCACGCACTCCAGAATTGGTTTACAAAAATTACTCCGATGAGAGGTATACAGGTAGAATCAAAATAACGCAAAGATCAACACTGTTTTAGTCACAAAAATGTATGGTATTGTGAATTTTTTACGCTTTTAAATTAATTTTTCAAAGGCTAAATTAAAGGTTGTATGTCATTATGGACTTATGCTGAATAAGCAACGATTTGACCAAATAGATTTAAAACCTGTTTCTTACGCGGTGTACGATCGGCAATGCGCTTGTGTTGCCTCTGGTGATGCAGGCGGTTGGGTTACGGTGTATGCTCATCATCAGTTGGTCCATAAGTTTTGTTTCAGAATTTTATATGAAGCAATTACAACAGTTCATTAATGTGGATAACGGTAGACCAATGAATTATTATGTCTTTTGGCTTACTCACGTAATTATTTGACGAGGAACTCGACTTGTTGCAAGCAATGTTAGAGGTTTATATACACGACATGACGCGGTGACTGTCGCGCTGTTAGTGGCTACTCGAATCTGTGGTACGGCCCCAGCGCGCCCTCTGCCGTGATTCACGCGTACAGTTTCTTCTATCTGTGGTATAGGCGACGGTGGCGCGCACAACAATTTTAGCACGTTAGACTCGTTCTTCGGCGGCTGCGTAGGAACTGGGTTTAACTAAATCCCAATTGACGCAAAATCAGTGTCACTGTGTCACACTCCTCGTTAAATAATTACGAGAGTTAGCCGAAAAACATACTAATTAATTTAGTATGTCTCACGAAAGTTATATTATAAATAATGGTAGACCAGTTGCCGATGCAGATGTTTGGTATATTTAATATTTTGATTTATGTTACTAAGATAAATTTGTCTTGTCGAAATTATGTAAAAGTATGAGTTCTGTCTTAATTTTGAGTAAATATTTTGAGTATAGTGGTGTAAAACCTGTATTTTTATTTCATTACTAGCTACTTCCGTGCGGTTTCACTATTAATAGTAGCGTGATATTTTATAGCCCATAGCCTTTCTCGGTAAATGGGCTATCCAACACAGAAATAATTTTTCAAATCGGACCAGTAGTTTCGGAGATTAGCGCGTTCAAACGAACAAACAAAAAAAACAAACTTCAGCTTTATAATATTAGTATAGATTGTTACACATATACACGCACACATACACACACACGCACGCACATAATTATATCAACAGCCTAAGAGTTGCCACTGCTGACCAAAGCCCTTTTTTCACACGGAGAAAGTTTGAGCATTAATCACCACGCTTGCTCAATGCTAGTTGTCAATTTCAAATATACAGTAAGAAATTTTAAAACGATGTTATCCTTCACCGTTTGTCAGTGGTGTCTAAATGATCTTAGAAAGTACATATAACTCGGAAATGGTCACATTACCAATGTGCTACCAATTATTAGCCAAATCGGTGCAGCCGTTTGTCATTAGATTTCATTTGTTTTCTTTGGCTTATAACGGCTCTATGACGTAACTGGTGACGTTCTTAACACTTTAGTGTGCACCTGCAGTGCTATTCTCTAAGGATACAGCGTTGCCTGCAGCGTTGCGGCAGCGACGAAATTATCGTTTGGTATTCAATAAGCTTCATCTTCTTGCGGAAGACGAAGCGTGGGCAGGCCTCCCGCTAGGTGGACCGACGACATCGCCAGAGTTGCGGGGAGCCAGTGGATGCGGGTGGCGAGTTGTCGTTCGACGTGGAGGGCTAAGAGGGAGGCCTTTGTCCAGCAGTGGACGTCTTCCGGCTGTTGATGATGATGATGATGATGATGATGATGATTCAATAAGCTAACATACGGTACACTAGCGCTCAAGGCTATGACGGCCGTGAGTTGAAACTATTCAAAGGCGAGCAAATTGATTGACAATTCTACATCCATGCTCACTCTAGATCACGTGTTCTACAGTGGAGACTGCGTCTAGGCAAACGCAGTGTAGGGCGCCCTCAAGCTAGGTGGAGTGACGACATCGGTAAGGTGGCTGGCAGTAGTTGGATGAGAAGAGCTGAAGACCGAGCTCAGTGGCGTGCCATTGGAGAGGCCTATGTCCAGCAGTGGACGAATACAAGCTGTTGATGATGACATACATTTTGGTATCGGACAAAAAACAGCGTCGACGCAACGTTCAGCCTAGAAACTGTTTCTTATATGTCGGAATACCCAAACGCTACTCAATTTTAAGTCGTGCTCAAGTATAGTTCTCTCTCTACAAATTCTTTGTAAATGACAGAGATGGTACGATATTTAAGCACGACTTAAAATTAAGTAACGTTTCAGTATTCCGGCAATAGACTCTTTCTTATACATAAACTCTTTCTTCTTCTATTTCTGTTAGAATAGCATTGCTACACTCAGGCATTAAAGTTTAGTTTTATTTAAAACATTTACCTGTTTATTAAATCTTGTTCTCCTTCCCTCCATCCTCCTCTTTATCGGTGGAAGGCGACTGCTGAATAAAGGGTCTTGGGTTGATTTGCGGGTTGTGTAAAGGACTATTGCGGGTTTTTCAATCTTTCGAAAATTCTACTGTGTCTGGAGTTGTATGAAAATGGACTCATGCTAAAAATAAATGCTAGTTTTTCGGTTTTTCGACAATGTATCAGTAATGCCACTGATTCTGGAGTTGGCAATTGGCTTATGCCCTATCTCAAGGGACTTATAAAATAACTGGAGAAAAGTAGGTGGCATATTGAATTCTGTATGGCCGGGAGAAGGCGTAGTGTCCCATGCGCTACACTCGAGGATGGGAAGCAGCGTCCAAGGGCCACTATGCTGTGCTTGTTCCATTATATCCTTTTTATCAACCGACTACAAAAAAGGAGGTTCTTATTAAAGAGATTATCTCGCGAATGGCTGAGCCGATTTAGATGTGGTTTCCAACAAAATGTTTGTTACGCTTTTTTCTTAATGAGTGATATCATCCAATAACTTCTCCCGCCTTAGGTGGGGCGAGAAGGTCAGTGGAAGGAAGTGTCAGTCTCTTACTGACTAAAAACCACCACGTTCCTAATTCTGGACGTCGATCCGGAGCCCTGGTAACCCGTTAAGTCTACCGCGACTCCGTATCGGCATAAACACTATTGGGCCCTATCTGTAGTGGTCTGGCTCTTTGAGGTGTGCGCGGAATACGTCGCGTCGTACGCTCGGGCCTGGTTCTGGTCGGGCGGCGAGTCACCCGTGCTCCCCGTCCGCAGGCCCGTGTTTACGGTGGCCGGAGATCGTCAATGTCACTGAGTCTGGAGTTGGCAATTGGCTTATGCCATGTCTCATGGGACTCATAACATAACTAAAGATTAGTAGGCGGAACATGACGCCCCGTACGCTCGGGTCTGGTTCTGATCTGGTGACGAGTTCTGCTGCAAATATAGCTTGGTATATTGTGCTTGTTTCATCGTATCCATTATTATTCCTTTAATTTTTGAAAAGGATTAGAGTCTCATGTATGTGCTACGTAAGGGTCTCATAACATAACTGATTAAAAATAGATGTAACATCTATATATAAAGATGAGCCTAATGAGTACACTTAGTGTTAAGCCATAGTTAGTGTACCCATACTTACTGTTGAGCTTAAGTTTTATTATTTAATTGAATTTAATTATTTGTGATTAACATTAGTTCTTTATAAGTAGATTTTCTGAAAGTACTAATATAATTGCCGTGCCTATAGACTTTGTGGTTTCAGACCACGAATAAATGATTATTAATTTTATAAATGTTTCAATATTTCAGTACTTCTATGGGTGATTTGATTTCTATTCATACATTTGTGCAATAATAAATAAAACACTTATTTTAGACTATTTTTTTTATTTGAAGTGTAGGTAAGTAGGTACAAAACATAGATACAGATAAGTTATACTAAAGCTAAGGATACAGAGGACAAAATAAATATGCTACAACACGTGTCGTTGGGTGGAGTAGCGTGACGTTGCCGGACTTCGGTCGACATGTCTGTTAACATCAACATCACTATGGACAGTGGGCTTACTCTTGAATCCAATTCCGATCGATCGACATTTATATTGTGAAATTTCGTATCAAATGAATTCAAATCAAAATCATTTATTTGCCCGAACAAGGTATACAGTGGTCACATTATAATTATAGTCCCTTTTATTCTGCCCACAATTCGGGCGTACAAAACTTTTACATGGAAGTCATAATCATTAAAACTATAAAACAAGGTATGTCATATTAAGTGAGAAAACAATGTCATTAAAGGTACATGTCAAAATAAAAATTACTATATAAAAAAGGAGGTTTATTATTTTCAAACATTAAAATATAACTAACAAAAAAAATTACAATAATACTAATATTCAGTCGTTAATCCACAAAATAACAATAAAAAACAGTCCATTAGAGTACTCTTGAGTTTTAACACACTAGTGCCTATTGCATCCGTATTGGGTGGGTATTCAATGAACTAAATGGTATTGAGTTTGGCTTTATATTCCGTACTCTGAATGCTATTTTAACAGCTACGATAGGGGTGCTATATTGTATAGTTTTGACATTGAATCATTATTGAGATTTTATTGGATTGCAATTGCATTGACATTGAGAATGGTTTCAATAGTAAGCACCAAGTTGCGCGTTGTCACAGTATATGTCAGGCGACATCGGCCGGCTTCACTCGACATGTCGCCGATATAATTGGGATGATGACAGGGTATGAAAATTAAAAACATAATTAGTCCGTGAGTTAGGTAATGAAAAAATATTAGACACGTATTTTTTTATTTTGTCGTATATTAAAACAATACTTAGATAAAACGAATAAAAGTTTAGGAGTGGAGGCTAAAACGTCATTTTTACGTATAAAATGTACATAGAAGTGACGTCACGCGACATTTCAAATCAATGTATCGTCGAAAGTATTCGTTTCTGTAAGAAAATGAAAAATACGTGTCTAATGATTTAAAGTAATCTACCAGACGGACATTAAAATAAAAATTAGTCATCTACCATATTATGTAGTGGGACATTTGTAGCCTGTGCCTTTAGCCAAACGCCACTTTAGCGCTTGTCTACAGAGAGAGTAGAAATCAAAATGTATGGGGATGACACTGACAAGTGTCAAATTTTACGTTAATTCCATATAATTTGGTTTTCTATTCTACATGTAGACAAGCGCTAAATGGCATT